TGTCATCTACAAATAATGACAGTTTAACTTCTTCATTTCTTATCTTTATTCCTTTTATTTCTTTCTCTTGTCTAGTTGCTGTGGCTAATGTTTCCAGAACTATATTGGACAGGAGTGGTGATAGTAGACATCCTTGTCTTGTTCCTGATTTTAGTGTAAAGGCTTTCAGCTTTTGACCATTTAGTATGATATTGGCTGTTGGTTTTTCATATATGGTTTTTACCAGGTTGAAATAAAAGCCATCTGTTCCAATTATTTTGTGGGGTTTTTATCATGAATGTGTGGTGGATTTTGTTGAACAACTTTTCTGAGATAATCAATCATATGGTGTTTGTCCTTGGCTTTGTTAGTATAGTACCTTTATTGGTTTGCATGTTGAATTATCGCTGCATCCCTGGGATAAATCCCACTCGGTCAGAGTGTAGCATCATGCCACAATGATATATGCTCACCCATGTTTGTAACAGCACAGTTTGTAATAGCTCAATCTCGGAAACAGCCCAAATGCCCATCAACTGGCGACTGGATAAAGAAGATGTGGTTTTAAAAAAATAAAATGGTGTACTACTTGGTCATAAAGAATGATAAACTAGAGACATTTATAGCTAAGTGGATGCACACTGAAGCTATATTCTTAAGTGAAATAAATAGGCCACACTGAATAGTTTTTCTTGTGTGAGAAACTGAAAGTGTAAATAAGGACCAAAATGTATGATAGATGATGTGAAATAGGAAGAAAAGGTGCAAAAGGGAAGGGGAAGGGAAATGGAGGTGGAGGGGAGAAAGAAGGTAAAGGAAAAAATATGAGAAAAGGGAAAAACGGAAACAAAGTCTTTGTAAATAGGAAGGGGTGGAGGGGTTGAAGGTAGGGCAGGGAAATGGGGAAAAAATAAGAATGAAACACACATTCATGACAAAAATTGTACAAAATATTGGAATAGACTATCTCTACCTCAATCTGATAAAAGACATTTATGAAAAACCAACAGCCAATATCATACTAAATGGTCAAAAGCTGAAATCCTTTACACTAAAATCAGGAACAAGACAAGGATGTCTACTATCACCACTCCTGTCCAATATAGTTCTGGAAACATTAGCCACAGCAACTAGACAAGAGAAAGAAATAAAAGGAATAAAGATAAGAAATGAAGAAGTTAAACTGTCATTATTTGTAGATGACACGATATTCTATATAGAAGACCCCAAGAACTCCACCAAAAGTCTTCTGGACTTAATAACCAAATTCAGTAGAGTAGCTGGATACAAGATCAACATGCAAAGATCAATAGCTTTCATTTACATGAAGAACAAGACTCTCTGAGAGAAGAACTGGAGAAACAACTCCCTTCATGATAGTATCAAAAAAAAAAAAAAAGAAATACCCAGGAGTCAACCTAAGGAAAGAAATAAAAGACCTCTACTCTGAAAACTTCACCTGATGTCTTGAAGGGAGCAATAACAGCAATCTCTCTGCCTCTGAACTTATCATCTTTACTGTATCTTACCCTCACTTTGTGGCTTGCAATTGTTCTCCGGTTCTTTCCATAATCTATTCCTAGAAATATTATCAAAAAAACAGGCCACAATCCAAGTTCCAGCAGAAACAAACATATTATTTGCACCAATAGTTTAGCTGTCATCACCAAGCCAGCACTCCTAACTTTTGTCCATTTATCCAACATACATTTAGCAAGAATGTGCTGTGTTCATTTTTGTTTGTTTGTTTGTTTTGTTTTGTTTTTTGAGACAGGGTCTCACTATGTAGTTGAAACTGACCTGGAACTCACTATGTAGCCCAGGCTGGTCTCGTACTCACAGAGATCCTCCTGCTTCAGCCTCCTGAGTGCTGGGATTACAGGCGTGCACCACCACACCCGGCTTGCCATGTTCATTTTGTAGATGAAGATTTTATGGGCCTTGTCCTCTAGAAACTCACAGTCTTGATGAGAATATTGCTTGCACAGACAATAGGAATAGGCTGCGATAAGTATCAAACGCATGTTAGCAGTGGCATCACTTTTTCTGGCTCTTTTCAATCTTGCATTTTCCATGTTGTGTCATTTACCATCCTTTTTATCTCTGCTGCCTTCCTGTGACCTAGTTGCTCACCACCCATTTCCTGAAAAAACCCTTTTAAATTATCTCACTCCTTCTTTCTCCCGCCACTAAAACAAGTCCACCTCCTGCTGACAAAGACCTACTTTTGACACTTCTCAATTCAAAAACCACAGTCAGCGAGCCAAGCACAGGGCCCTGAACTTGCACAGGCAAAGTCCGCTGCGACCTTGACTTGTTCTCCTGACTTTGCTCACATTCATGCAGCTCACTTCAGAAGCTTCAGGTAAGAGAGACTTTGAGCAGTTCTCCAAAAATGACTTACACTCCTATTTCCTATTGTTCTCTTTGCCCACCCTGCTGTCCTGTCCCCTTCCTTTCATTTTATTACTGGAATTAGATGCTTTCCAAAAGTCACCCTCCTCCATTTTTCATTCTCCCACAATGTGTGATAGTCTCATTCTGATTTGCCTTAGTTATGTATTCTTATCTTCTTTGAGGCACTTAAATTCTACCTTGCATTACAATCATTTGTACATTTATCTTAAAGGCTCTATCTTTAGGACAGGTATTTTGTCTTAATCTAAACCTCAGTATGGTGCCCAGCACAGTAATGCTCAATAAACAATGAATATGTTTTATTTTTGTATGTAATATAGTAGGAATGCTATTTCATTGAAAACCCAAGCAAAATCCCAAATTTTTCTTTTTCATTATTATCATTGGTAATGATTAATTTTATATGTCAACTTGACTGGTTAAGGGATACACGATACCAAGTAAAATATTATATCCAGGTATGTCCGTGAGACATTGACATTTGAATCAATAAACTGAATAGAGGATTTATCATCATCAATGTGAACAACATCATCCAATCTACTGAAGGCTCAAACAGAACAAAAAGACAAAGGAGGGTGACCCTTCCATCTCTTTAGGTTTGGGTGTCATCTGTCCTTGGACACTGGACCTCCTGGTTCTTGAACTTTCAGTCTCTAGGACTTATACTAGAAGCAATCCCTCCCAAGTTTCTTATGCCCTTGGCATCATATCGGGAATTATACCAAGGCTCCCTGGAGCTCAGGCCTTCAAACTTGGACTGAATTACACTGCCAGCTTTCCTGGCTCTCCAGCTTGCAGACAACATATTGTGAGACTTCTCAGCCTCCATAATCACGTAAGCTAGTTCCCATAATAAATCTCCCCTTATGAATCTATTTCCTATTGGTTCTGTTCCTCTGGAAAACCCTAATACCTTATGTAGTCATTTATCCAACAAAGCTTTCATCCCTAGGCAATAATTTGGGTTCTGGGGGAACAAAAATAAAGACACAAATGTCTGCACTCAATAAACTCATGTTCTGAATCAGAGAGATTGGCACAGAAAACAAATAAAATAACAATATATGTGCATAATAACATGAATTGCAAAATTAGGCAAATTTTATACCAACTAGATGTGTGACCTCAGGCAAATCACTTACACTGTGAGCTAAATGCTAATAAGTATTTAAGACACAAGTATCTGTGAATTTATGATACTAACCATTGTGTGGCCCCCTTTGCTAATAGATGGCACTTCTATGCCAATAAGTGCCAATATATTTACCAAAAAAAAATCTATTATTGATGCTAATTAGTTCTAGGGAAATCAGGTGAATGGCAACTAAGAGCGTTAAAAACAGCAGCTGAAATTAATAATTACAAAATGAGACAAATTATAAGTGCTTCATCAGCACCATTAGATAAATAAATCAGTGAAATTCTTGCAGGATAAGCCTAGTAAGGAAGCAGTGTCCCCATAGGTGTGAGAGATGCTGTCCTCTAGGCTCCCATATTTGACCACTAGAGACTGGCAATGTGCATGTACAAGTCAGCCTCCCCTCTGTAAAGTGGGTAGAAACTTCTCTTTGTGCATCTCTGTATCTGGCGCCTAAGCAAGTAGGAAATGTTCAACACATGCTTGTGAATGAAGCAATCGGTATCATGTGTGTGTGTGTGTGTGTGTGTGTGTGCGTGCGCGCACACACTCGCATGCAGGCGTGTGCTGGGGATTGAATCCAGGGCCTCATGCAGGCTCTAAGCACATGCTCCAACACTGAGCTGTAACTAACTCCAGTTCCTACATCCCCAATTTACTGAGCGTTTATACACACCAAATCTAGAATTACAAATGGTATGGTTCCCACCATCAAACAAAATCAAAGGAAAACTTAAGGCCCCAACTATAAATCAAGCTTTATTCTTTGATAGGGATTATTACTAAAGAAAAACAACTTAGCCACCAGGAAGTAGTTTCAAAGCAACAAATCCTCTTTTTTAGATTATTCAAATCCTGGGAAAAGGTGTCTTCCTTTCATATGGCTACGTCTTATCACAGAGGCCATTCCATGATCCTGGCCCCTTCACACTCTCCCACCAGAGCACCCCTCCCAGAAATCACCTTCAAGGTTTAGTCCTTCTCTGCCTCAACCTTTCCTCTTGACTCTGCAATCAAATTCCAGAAGAACTAATTTGGCAAGATCAAACCTTGCTTGGAATGTAGGAAGGAAAACGAAAATAAGCAAAACCAGAATCAGTCTCTGTAGACTGTGAACAAATGCCTCAAAACTGTCCTACAACACAAATGTTGGTCTGACCAAGATTCAACTTAAAGATAGCAAAATAAATGGGGAATAGTATAAAGAAACAAAAGCATTCACATTTGGTAAGCTAATATTATAAACTCAAAACAGCTCTATTTGATGATAAATCTGATCATTCTAGGCGGGATATATTGGAAGAGGCATAGACAAGTCAAGAAAAATGAAGTTCAAAAGGAAAAAAAATGATCATATGTACTATGTAGGATCCATTGCGCAGCACTAAGACACTGCTCAGAGTGCACTGCGTGAATCTGCTCACCAACCATGTAAAGAAGTGCTATTGTCCACATTTTATAGATAAGTTTGACCAGTGCCATGCAAGGCAGATGACAGGAAAGGAAGAGAGTGGCGAGCTAGTGCCTGTAGCAGAGAAGAGGAAGTAATCACAGGTAACTAGGTAAGTCCTGCATCTGTCTTGTCTTTTCCTCCCTTGACAATTTCACTGTACGGGGCAGGGAAGAAGTTATCTTCCAAAAATAGCCGAAGTTGAAAAGAGAGAACTAAAAGGAGAAATTGTCACTTTCCTAAATGAGAAAAGAGAAATAAAGGAGGAATAGAAGGCCACGACTTCTTCCTGACCCAGACAGATGATAAAGAACAAAGTACAACATAGCAGCTTGATTTTTTAAAAAAAGGAGTACAGTGGGGCATGGTGGTGCACACCTGTAATCCCAGCACTTGGGAGGCTTAGGCAGGGGGATTGCTGTGAGTTTGAGACCAGCCTGGGCTACATAATGAGTTCCAGTTCAGTCTCAACTATATAGTGAGACCCTGTCTCAAAAAACAAAACAAAAAAAAGCGGGGGGGAGTACAGTGGGGCGTGGTGGCATGAGCCTGTAATCCCAGCACTCAGGAGATTTAGGCAGGAGGATCATCTCATCTTTGAGGTCAGCCTGGCCTACATAGTGAGTTCCAGGCCAGCCTGAACTACATAGTGGGATCCTGTCTCAATAAAGGGGGGGGGTAGGGGAGAGAGAGGCTGGTGGCATTATTTTATTTTCCATATCACAGAAATTTACACTATTAAAAATCTTCCTTCCTATTTTCCTCTGACAGATACAGCCCCAATTTACTCCAAGAGCTGAAATTGATTACTCTTTTACTCTTGAGGCTATAATTCTTAAGAGATGTTTAAAATTAACATTCCAGAAGCATTCCAGTCTCATCTATGAGACAAATTTATAGATCATTGTTTGCATACAGTGTAGGTGATGCTAGAGTAAGACTTTGACCCTAGGGGCTTGAAAGTACACAGCACAGCAATTTATTTAATACATTCCCATCTTGGTTCTTCCTTAAAACCCAGAGATAAACAAGACATAAGCCACTCTGTATGGAGAATTATTCTGTTATCTCAATTGGCATTAAGCAGGAAGCCAAAGACCCTTAGGACAAATTAAAATTAATTAATATACCAAAACAATTCAATACTAGGATACTGATCTTAATTGGAAATCAGTCTGAAATTTGTATTAGGACTTATAGTAACTTCTAAGTGAACTGTCTATATATCTTTATTCAGAATCACTATTAGTCAGCTTAAGCCCTCAAAAGTTTGATCAGAAAATGACCCAAAACAATGAACTGGACAAACCCTTGGGCATCACTCTGATGGCCTGAGGGATGTACACCATGTTGGAGGAATCAAGCCCAATTGCAGGAGCCACTTCAGTTACAGTTTTCCTGAGACTTCTTCCCCCAACAGGTAATACAGGTAAGAAGTGATCTGATGAGATTTGCTCTTCTTTAGGGCAGTTTATATATTCAGACATATTCAGCCTGCCTCACAGTCATACAGTTTGAGCAGAAACGTTTCCTGAGCACTTACTGTCACAGCCCTCTGAGATGGTACAAAAGAATGAAACAAGACATTTTCCCAGAATTCTCATGAGAAGCATTAGACAGACACAGGTCATAGCAACATGGACAACACACAGGGAAATGTTTACGCATAGCAGTAGCAAGCATAGGTTAGAGGATTCGAATAGCCAAGTTTTAAATCCCAGCTCCGACAGTTGCCACTGTAAGCAGGTTTTATAACTCTCTCTGAGTCTGTTTCCTCTTCTGAAAAGTGGATTTCTAATGCCCACCTCATACGGTTGCTGTGAAGAGTTAGTAAGGCAATGAACATAAAATGTTCAGCATACAAAAATTCAACAAATACTAGCTACTATTGTTATCAATAAAAATCCTGGTCTTGCTGTTACTTCTATTACTACTATGCCTGCACAGCTACCACTCTTAGCTGTATTTTCCCCATACCTTCAGGATAAGGAGGCTCCCCGGCTGTCTGAAGCGCTCCAGTCCAGATGGAATAATTCATCTCAGGCGTAGAGGTGAGGAGGCTCACGGTCTGTCAAATGTCACAGAAGAGGATCTCAGATGGAGGAGATGGCCACAGAGGGAAGTGAGCCCACCCTGAATACAGCAGATAAGTTTGCTCTAACTGGCTTTCTGAGCCGAGGAAGGCCACATGCTCACAGGTCATGTGATGAGCTGCAAAGTGCCTCAAGACTGCTTAAGTTACTTTAAAAAAAAAAAAAAGCAGCTTTTTGAATAGTCACGAAAATCTTACGCCTTCCTCTTATGTTATTTGAAATTTCAAAATAAATTTAGTATCAAGGAGAAAAAAATGTTGGATACATTGGCAACTTTGAAAAAAAAATCTTATTTGGGTCTTGAAAGATAGATACATATTTCTTCTTTGATCATGTGGCAACAACGTGAGCACTGAATCTGCTTGCTCACCACCAGCTCTTCTTCCCTAAGGGGTGGAGAAAACAAAGCCCGATGCAGGTTATTCTCAATGTCAAGCTTACCTAACACTTAATTCTCACCCTGACAGATATAGTCCATATGGGACCATGACCCTGCTTACTCCCAACCTCTAATTCTACAGACAAGGGGACCATGAGACTCGAGTGTCTTCCTCTCAACCATCGCACTAATTGGTGATGGAAGGAAAGAGGAACTCCACTAATGGAGAGAAGGTCCAGAGGAGGAGGGGAGAAATAACAAGCAAGGTTTGCCTGGAATGACTTGCTGTGGGAAATCAAACGCTGTGGGCAGCCACTCAGATTTCAGCAAGAAAGAGACTTGGGTAAAATGATTTTTCAGAAAAAGCGTACTTGCTGCTGCATACAGAGCACAATAAATTAACTATGTCAGATTCCTTACCTCTGCACCTTTTGCTACCAGAACGTAAAATATCAACAAAAGATATTTAAAGGAAAAAATTCAATTGTTATTCTTTTTCATCTGAAAAGTTATTTCTATTTTTAGTCAGTGCTTAGCCATTTTAGGAATGAAGTCGAAAAAAATTTTTCCCCTCAGTGGTTATAACAAAAGTGAAGGCTCCATGGCTTAATTGTCTTTTTTTTTTTTAAGGGGGATAGAAAGTTGGAAACTGAGCATCCAAGAGATGGAGTCTTTGGAGTATTTCCCCAGTCAAAAGTTAAGTGTTGGTGCTGCTTCCCCTAAGGGTCTCCTCCTGCTCTGGAAATGTGAAGACACTGAGGACTCCCAGCCTAGGTTTCCACCATGCAACTGGTGGTGGGGCAGTTTTCAAAGTAGGGTCCTCGTACTGCACATCTTCCCCCTTCCCATTATAACTACCTTCCTTCCCCAAAAATAAGACCTAACCAGAAAATAATCAGCCTTGAAAATATAGATTGATTTTGCAGCTTCATGGCCAGTGTTATTTTCTGGATTCTTCCCCATTATTCTCTTGCTCAGCAGCTGGCTATAATGGCAGGTAAGGCACGGAAAGCTGGTTGGGCCTGAAATTTCTGAGCTCTACTATTCAGGGCTGACTACTGATTAGTTCTTATTTTCAGGGAAACACAGAACGTACATACTGACTTCCCAAAGACTCGTGTTCTTGGTGGATGCCCAACAAATATTTGATGATGACCCAGGTTTCAAGACTTGGCTGCCACCCCTAAATTTCATGGCCTTTCTCCCAAAGAGACCAGATGAAAAAGCAACTATAAGATTCAAATTTATTCTGTGCAGCCATTGCTCTGTTTGCTATCAAAGACTTTGCCAAGGGAATGCTCCTAAAGGACAACATAAACACTGTGCATCCATGTCTGAGTTGCCATTGAAACCCAAGCTACATACAGTTGTTTTATTGTACATGCTGACCAATAAATGGAAGGATTTTCTCAAAAGAGGACACTCCTTTTCTAGTAAGATGTGGAAAACGGGTTGAGCATTAATGTTTTTATACAGAAAGGGAAGGAGTTGGGAGTAGGGATCTACCTCAAAGTGAGGCCTCAGGGACTTACTTTATTACACATACTTAAGGTATACATGTTTTGATATACATATACATAGTGAAATGATTACTGCAGTCAAGCAAATAACACATCTATCATTTTACACAGTTGCTTGCATGTGGTGTGTAGTTTGTTTGGGCAGGAGAATATCGCCCAAAGGCCTCATGGGCTTATAGGTGGGACTTTGTAGGTAACTGATTATAGAGATGGTATGGCAGAGATGGCGAACCTTTTAGAGCTTTCAGTGATACAAAGAACTCTCTGTGGCACACGTGCCCTAGGTTTTGCTACCATGGCACTATAGCTAAACGTGCTGTCAGGAGGTGGGGGCCTGGTTGGAGGCAGGTCACTGGGGCATGACGCGGAAGGGTTTATCTGCTTTCTGGTTCCACGTTTCACCATGCTCCGCTTTTCAGTCACCACAGTACGGGCCTCTCCCCAGGCCCTTCCAGCATGCCTTTTTGTCTTGGGCTGAAACCTCTAAAACAAAATGAGCCCAAATAAACTTCTGTCCTTTTAACTTACATTTGTAGTTCAGCAATGAGGAAAGGGACTAAGACATAATAAAAGTTTCAGAAATCCTCCTAGAAAGTTTTCAGTATGAAATACTGTATTACTGACAAGAGTCTTCATGATGCAGGTTGGATCTCTAGGCTGACTAATCCTACCTCACTAAAAACACACGTGTACCACGTGACCACCTTCTTCCCAGTTCCCCCACTCCTCCCACTTCAGGTAACCAAACACCTTTCTACTCTCTATGTATTTGAGTTTTATTTTGGGATTTTCTTTGTTCTGCTTACATTCCACATGTGAGTTTCTGTATCTGGCTTATTTCACCTAGCATGTTCTCTACATTCATCCACACTGCCATAAATGGCAGAATTTCCTTTGAAGGCTAAATTATATGTTTATAGGAAGATCACAATTTCTTTATTCATCCTCTGACAGACATAAGTTGTTCCTAAATCTTAACCATTGTAAATAATGCTGTGTTGAACATGGGGCACATGATGTCTCTAGGAGGAGAAGGTAATTTCATTTCCTCTGGGTGTATTCCCCGAGGAGGGTTTTCTGGCTCTCAGAGTAGCTCTGTGTTTTATCTCTTTAGAAACCTCCACATTGTTTCTCACCTGCCCCAATCTATCTTCCCACCCACAGAATACAAGGGTTCCATTTTCTCCTTATCCTGGACAACACCTGTTACTGCTTTTCTTTTATGTATCAGCCATTCTACTAGGTATAATGTAGTACTTTGTGGCTTTGATCTGCATTTCCCTGATTATTAGTGATGTGAAGCACATTTCCACATAAGTGTTATAAGGGATTTTTTTGCAGCTGTGTTTGCAAATACACGCCTTTGATGGGAATTACATGTTTATCAGGCAGCTTCTCAAGCTTTTTACTTTCTTATCAGAAAAGCAACACCAGCTTCAGCTAAGTGAAGCTAGAAATGATGAAGGCCCTGTTTTGGCAAATCCTGCTTCCCCCCTAGAGACTGAATGAAGAGATGAAATGCTAAAGGAGAAAAACTCAGGAAATGATGAAGAACTGATATGTAGGAGACTACACTGAAGCCTTCCAAGTTGTTTTGGCCCTGGGAGTTTCCAAACATAGGTATTTAAGTAGCTCAGATCCCTTGCTTAGAGTAATCCAAACGAGTCATTTCTTACCCTCAATATTTTCAATTTATTCACATCTTACGTTGAGCTTACAAGATGAAGATGGTGGTGGTGGTAGTGGTGGTGGTGGTGATGATGATGATAAATTGCTTTCTGAAAAGGTAATACCACAAATGATACAAAACTCAAAAGTTACACAAGAAAATGTGGTGAAATATAGCCCTGCTTACCACCTGTAACTACCCAATAATGGTCACAGTTTCTAAAGTAATTTCCAAAGCTATTTATGCATACCCAAGTATAGACATGTATGTATTTTATGGCCAGTATATGTAGAAGAATGATATTAAAACTCTTTGGGGGAGTACTGGGAATTGAACCCAGGGCCTCACACATGCTATGCAAGTGCTATACCATTGAGCTACAACCCTAACCTTTCTTCATTTTGAAACAGCATCTCACTAAGTTGCTCAGGCTGGACTTAAATTTGTGATCCTGCTGCCTCAACCTCCTGAGTAGCTGGGATTACAGATATATACCACCATGCCTAGCATGAAACTTTTTCTTTTTGAGCCATAAAAAGGAATGAACTTTCTCTTTTGTTCCAGTGATGTAGCTCTCTGTCCACCAGCGCTAGAATGCTGAGACAATTTAATTTATATTTAATTTATATGTGTCCATCATTACTCTTCTGATTCAATATTTTCCTGAATATTCCTGATCTTATTTTTGCATGTAACTCCAAAATCAGCTTCTTGAGTATATAGTCCTTTCATGCATTATATCCTGGCACTGATTGCTGCTTGCATGTGTAAAGGCTATTGATTTTTTTAATCTAGCTGTATTATTCAGTTCTCTTATTTATTACTGTTGCCAATGATACTTAATTTTGAGTTTTTCCACATGCTGAATTGTATTATCTGCAAATGTAATTATTTTGCCTCCTCCTTTACATCTCCTATTTCTTTCTTGTCCCTAAAAAGTTGGTGAGCACCTCAAGATCAATGTTTAGTAACATGGAGAGTACCGTTTTCCTAATTCAGTGTGGATTTTCTACTGTTTGTCCATGAAGCATGAGCCAACTTAGACAAAACAAATATATTTATTAAAGCAGTATAAATTTAGTTCACTTATGTTTTTCATCATCCATAATTTTCATTAAACATTGCAGCAACCATGGGTGTGAGATGGTTTTGCTGTTTTGATATATTAATAGGGTAAACTTCATTAGTAAATTTCATACTATTTCACTATCCTCCCTTTTCTGAAATAAACCTCACTTGGTCCTATTACTCTTTTACTGTCGCCTTGGAATTTGTTTGCTAATATTTTACTGAAGATTTTTGTACTGACAGTCTCAAGAGAGTTCTTTGTGTGATTTTTTATTGCTCCAGACTTTCGCACCTGTATAATCTTCATAGAAGGAAGTTAGAGGCTTTTCTTTTTCTAGAAGTTTAAAAATCACTGGACTGATTGATTTATTTAAGTTTTAAGAGCTCACCCGAGACAGCATGTATACATGATAGTTGGGGAATAAAATGGGCTTTTGATATCTTTTCATTTTCCACTTATATTTGATTTTGTTTAGATTTTCAAAGTTTTCTGCAACTAGCCTTAGAATCTCATCTTTTCTTAAAACCACAGATTTTAAATTTTATTTTCATATTGGTGAACAAATAAGTACCCTACAATCTTTAGTTTTTCCTGTTATTATTTCTCTGTTCTTTCTTATTTCATTTCTGCTTTCTCCCTTTGAAAAATAAATGAGCACAGGGGCTGGGATTTAGCTCAGTAGTGCGATACCTGCCTAGAAAGCACAAGGTCCTGAGTTCCATCCCCAGTACCGCAAAAAATAAATAAATACAAATAAATAAAAAATAAAATGAGCAGACACCTCTAATCCTAGCACTCTGGGAGGCTGAAGCAGGGGATCTTAAGTAGGAGCTCAGCCTGGGTGTCCTAGTGACTTACAGTAGCTCATATCTGTCTGAAAGAATGAATGAATGAATAGGTATGTAGCTCAGTGCACCAGTACCACTACCCCCCAAAAAGTTGCACCATTATTTAAAAACAGCCAAAAAGTAGAAGCAACCCAATTGTCCAGATAAACATAATATTCAGACATAAAAAAGGAATAATGTTCTGATGCATGCTATAACATAGAGAAATTGTGAAAACACTATGCTAAACAAAGGAGGCCAGACTCATAAAAACAAACATTGCATGAGTCCACTTACATGAAATATCTGAAATAGGCAAATTCCTAGAGACAAAAAAGTAGATTAGAGGT